GTCCATATGGGGCAGGAAGTGGCAGGAGCCCCACACGCCTTGTTACCGTACAAGCATGTACGGATTTGAAACCAACAAACATACGAGAGATATTTGTAAGTGCTCCCCTTGTTTCGTAAAGTTCCTTCAACTTCCGCGATTCTGAATGCGTGCCTGAGAGTTTGGGGGCAGACCCTGCAATTGGTCTAGATTGCTCGGTAGAAGGGTTTAAATTGACACCTGGGACAAGTTGAATTGCCGGGACAGGCCCTTGAATTGGCCTGACAGGGATAAGAATTGGCCTGGCAGGGACATTCCGACAGTCAGAATTAGCCTGACAGGGATACGAATTAGCCTGGCGGGACATTCCGACAGTCAGAATTAGGCTGACAGGGTGTCGAATTGGCCTGGCAGGGACATTCGGACAGTCAGAATTAGCGTGTTCAGGGTGTCGAATTAGGGAAGCACGGGAATTGTGCGACCGGGGCAGTCAAAAGAATTGCTCTGCCCGACAGTTTGTCCTACCCTCTACCCATACGGATGCGGGCGGGGGATGTGGAGCCAATGCGGCGGCGGCGGTGGATCCCGCGCGGAGCTGGTGGCGGCGGATGATGTGTGGGCAAGGATACTGTGGTGAAAGCTTTTGATCCGGCCCCTGGCGGCTAATGCGAGTTCGAGCCCCGCAGCGATCGATATATGTCCCTTTATATGGTAACCCTGTGTGGATTGTTGGTGATTGGTTGTGTACTGGGTACCCGTATGGACGTAGCCCAGATGGAATAATAATTTCGGTAAATTGGACCTGCCTGCATAAACGCTGCGTAACTCGATCCAAGATCCATCGAGGGTAGCAAACCAATTGCTTCAATTATCGCAATTTCGCATCTTTGCACTATCTCCCCATTCCTTTAATCTTTTCTACACTATTCAAGTTTGGGTCAACTCAAGAACTCTGCATGGTGCTTTCCTCGGCGAGGCGTCTCTTGTCAATGAATTACTTCCGATCAATTGTAACTTGTTTTCCCATTACATTATTGAGCCTCATGTATTGATTTACAACGTATTCTGCTCGTTTCGTGCTTGCTCTTGCTCGGACTGTCGTATGTGTAATGGGCACTTGACAAGTATAACACATACAGCTTGGCTAGGGGCCAGACTAATTAGCATAGAAAATGTGTCACCTTACAACATAGCCTTATGTACATAGCTGACTCTTCTAAGCCTGTACGGCTCCTCCTAGAGTAACAATCTCGCTCTCAGCTCAGCTTGGTTATTCCTAATTTTAAACAACAGTTTACGGAGTGATTGTGGCAGATATCGATAACGTAGCTCACGCTTCAACTTGGCGCAATGGACGATGACTTGGAAATTAAAGGACCCGGATATGAACCAATAGCGGACGAATTTGCTACGTGAGTTAACATTCTTGATTAGCAAAATATTTCCATTAGACCCTTGCTAAGCCAGCGGATGATTTTTGCTGCATTTGCAGATATGAAGACTATTTAGACAGCCAGATTAACAGTACCGATGTTTATTATCTTGAGGATGTGGAGCTGGCACGACAGTTAGTCGAGCTGGGGTGAGATGGGTACGCGGCTGTCGACAAACACACCTGAGTTCCCCCTTGGCATAGATACTGTATGGAGCGGAGCGAAATGCCGAAGGTCATCACAGCACTCCTTGGCGACAGTGAGGCCGGTAGTGGGTCATTGCCGCTTTCCAAGACCCCCGGGGGGCCATGCCCGCCGCTTCCCTAATTTGTCATGCCTAGTATCCATGCTTCTCCAGTCCTTCAATCAGGAAAATTTCGTTCATTTCCTTCAGGATACGTGGTAACGGGGAGGTAATCCGGCGTGAGGAGTTCGAGCAGCGAAAAGAAGCTTCGGAGCAGGCACGGCAGGCGCGGCTAAACAAAAAACCCAAGAAGCTCGCCTCGCAGGGCAAGCACGTGGAGGAGTACCCCCTGCTGCAGGTAAGCGCTACTGCGCTACACTTGCCGCACGCGCCGCGCCGCGCCTTTCACCACCCAATTTTCGGGCCTTCACCACCACACGGCATATGGCATGGAGCACACCTTCTGGGCCTCCTCATACTCGGGCAGAATGCAAGAGCGCGGGGCACGAGTGGGAGTAGTGCTCTGCGGGCATTGCCCCTGCCCATGGACGTGTGTGAGCCGCGGGTGGATGGACTCCTGGCTGTGCGAGTGTGTTTTCTGTTGGCTTGGAGAACATTTGTGGTTTGGCGATATCTGGTACTATCTGGACGGCCGGGCGGGTGGGCGGCTTATGGGTGGTTGGGCGGGTGGGCGGTCGCGGAGTCCCTGGCTCAGCGGTAGTGGAGCTGGTGAGGCGTTTGAGGACCCCCCCAGCCCTGGTGAGCTCTGCTGGGTCATCTTTTGCCCCGCCCTGCTGGGACCTCCAGCTTCCTTATGTGGGTAGTGGGGATTGCACACAAGCAGCGAGACGCACAGACAGACAGACAGACACTCACAGCTAGTTGACCGTAGCCAGGAGAATCAGGCAACCAGAGACTAGAACCAGACTGGCATCAGGCAGCCACAGGAGGCGGGGCGGGGTGGGGACAGACTGCTTACAAGTTGGGTTGGGGTTGGTGAGGGCCGGGCCCCCTGGTATCCCCCGGTATAGTGTGTGGTCCCCGGGGAGGGCGGACACCGCTCCTAACGTGCGACCTCACCGTTCCGCACCGCAAGCACCGGTACTGCGGTGCGGGCACCTGGTTTGGCGCGCCATGAGGCGCGCCATGAGAAAAGAAGGGGACAGAGCGCGGGGTGGGAGAGAGTGGGAGTGTGTTTTCCTGGGAGGGAATTTGAGAGGGAGAGAGTGAGTGCGTGTGCATGTTTGCACGTGTATGTGTGTACATATGTTGTGACGCGCGCCAGGTGCCGAAAATTTAGAAGCAAGGCCTGTCGGCGAGGAGGAGGCGATGGTGAGGCGAGTGGGCCGCCTCACGGGGGTTACAGGTTTTCGGATTTCATCCCCACTATCCCACCCACCCCCCTCCACCCCTCTAGTGGTTCGTAGCTCTAGTGGACGTCTTGAGCAGTCCACCTTTGCTTTCGCTCTCTCACTCTCTCAGCGTTACGGGAACTAAATCCCCCGCTTCCCGCTTTCCAATCCCCCTCTCGCCTGTGTGTGGTTCGTCTTTCCCCCCCTCTCTCCTCCCTCCCCCTCAGGCTCTGAAGGACCGCGAGGAGGCGGTTCGCAACGGCAAGCTGACTACCATCATATTCATTCGGGATAAGAACTCCAAGGGCCAGGTGCGGCGGTGGGTGTGTGTGCGGGTGGGAGGGTGGGAGGGTGGCAGGTAGGGCTCGCCGTGTGTGTGTGCGTGTGTGTGGGTGTTATATTTATCTGAGCCGCAATACGGGACCAATGCGAAGTGGGTGCACCGATGCGAGCTCTGTAGTCCAGCGACGGGCAAGTCTTTTCCAGTAAAGGTTGTGGATGTAGTTTGAATTTTCTGATAGAAGATGTTGAACAGAAGCCCGTGATGTGAAAGCCCGTAGTTATGCGGAATCGCTTCGCGTGGCGAGGTAGCTTGTTTTTTTTTGGAAACCCTCTCCTCGCACCCGAGGTGGTGGAGGGTCACATCACGGTGGTGGATGTGGGAGCTCGTGAAGGGAAAGAGGAAGGAGATGTTCATTTATGCATTTATGTTCACGTGTCTGTTTGTATGTCTGTGTGTGTCGAAGTGTGTGTTATGTGTCACTGGGTTGTGCCACGGTATGAGCTATGTCGTCAGGCAGGTTGGGAATTTCGTGGAGGGGAAAAAAGGACTTCAGAAAGACTTCAGGATGAAAGAGCTATTTGCGTAACCTGTTCCGTCCTCCTCCTTCTCTCCTGACGTGACCCCACCCCCTCGCCGACTGATAGGAGGTGTCTGGCTACATCGACTATGGTCACCGGCTCAAGACGGAGAGCATGGAGCCCTATTTCGACCGCAAGAAGCGGCTCATGCCCCGACCCTCTGACCTGTCCTTCTACAACTGGGAGACGCAGATGTCCACCTCGAACCCCACACCGAATTTCCAAGTGAGGAGAGGGAGGGCAGGAGAGGGAGGGCAGGAGAGGGAGGGCAGGAGAGGGAGGGCAGGAGAGGGAGGGTAGCGGGGGGAGGGCAGGAGAGGGAGGGCAGGAGAGCGGAGCCTGCAAGGGAAGAGAGGGAGGGCAGGAGAGGGAGGGTGGCGGGGGGGGAAGGGTCCCACGGCACAGCACTCCGCGCACCGTGGGGTCGTACACAGAGCACGGAAGCCACTCCACGTACAAGCAAAGCAGCGCTGCCGCCGGATAGTGATCTGATTCTTCTCGTACACGTATACATATACACGTATGTACACATACCACCTGTGACGGTAAGAAACTTCCCACAGCTCTGTCGATGACGGGCACTTCACTGCGGGAAGAAAGTGATATCCGCCAGTCCGCCAAATCCTTATCTGGATCCTTACCCGTACCTTATATTACCGTCGTCCCGGACGATAAGTAATCGCAATCCCTGCCCCGGATATTAATTCCGTGTGAATTAAAAAAAAAGCCTCAGTAACTTTAGCCCACTAGCTTTCCACTTTCTGAAAACGACCATCGAAATGGAAAACCCTAAGTCCCGCCACCAGGCTCGTCACGGCACATCGAATTCTTGCTCTTGGCACATTACACGTTTCCAATACCAATTCCACTTATCCTTCTCTGCCCTCCTTCCTCTGCTCTGTTCGTCCTCTGCTCTTATCTTCCCCTTTTCCTCCCCTCCCCTCCCCTTCCCCTTCCCCCCAGGTCATTGCCGACAACGAGGCGGGGCTGCTGTTCAAAAACAAACGGGACCGCAAGGTCATCAACGTGGACCCCCGTGCGAAGCCCGGGGATAACTCCACACGTACGGAACTGGACACCACAGAATACCTGCAGGTGGTTGTGTACGACCACGTGACGAGGCGGAGGAGCTGAGGACGCGTGTGCGGGCGTCCGTGTCTGTCTGTATGTCCAATCAGTGTCTACGTGTAGATTAATGTACGAGAGCGTATGCATGTGTGTTTTATGGGGCAAGAGGGTGATGGCGGCTAAGGTGATGGGACTAAGACCGGTTGTGTGAGAACTGAAGGGCGGAGACTCCTAGATGATGGCAGCGAAGGAAAAGGGATGGGGGGAAAGTTAGGCGCACGGAGACCTGGGTTCGGTGGTGGGAAGAGGTGGGGAGGGGTGGATGTGGAGAGGTGGGGAGGAATGCGAAATGGCTGAGTCGGTGGTGGGGTCCACTCAGACGCGGTTGACAGAGAGGACTGTTGCCAGCCGTCCTTCGCAGCAGAGAGGTCATCGTGGTGCTGCTACGACGCTGTTCGGGTCGTAGTGTCACGTCTGCTCGAGGCCTTGTGGTGGCAGGATAGCGTGACGAAACCGGCCGGTAGCATGACGTGATACCAAACGTCCGGTACTTTTGTAGGGGGTGTTATGCGTCCTGCTCATGCTTGTATTCCTTTACGGTTCAGGGTTTGTGTCCTGAGGCGGCTGAATGGTAGGTAGGTAGGTTAAATGGACCCCGCGGGTCGGCAGGCCCACGTCACATACCAGAGCCGCGTTGGCGCGGTCTGGGTTTTGCATATCCGATGGCTGTGATGATTATGGTTACTGTATATAGATTCTTGGGCTACGCGGATAAGCAGGGCCTTCATATTTCAGCTAGTACAGTACGGTTGTTGCAGATCGCTTCTGTTCGTGTCGTTCTATTTCAGCTAGTACAGTACGGTTGTTGCAGATCGCTTCTGTTCGTGTCGTTCTCGAATATTTGGCGTATTCTGTATGTTGCCATTACTGAAGGTAATGGAAAGAAGAGTCCTGTAAGGATTCTACAGCAGACCAAAGGCCAAGTTAAGGCCAGCCTTTTGGAGCGGCGTGCTCCAGAACACAAGAATGTCTTGTAAGGTGCCCTCCAACCGGGCATATTACGTGAACTTTGCAAAGCTTGGACAGGGACTCCTTGGCCATGTCCAAGTAGCCTTCATGGCAAGTGGCCACAGATAAGTTTCAAAGTCACGAGAGAGCCAGAGCAAAGCGTTAGCATAACAGACTAGGATTAGTCCTTGTTCCTTTATATGGCCCCGCATTGCCGTCTTTATTGTCAAACTTCACGTTGACGCAGCATGGCTTCGGAGCTCCATCTCCAACCCAGCCCAGCTGTGGAGGTCACCCCGCTCTTGCTTGCTCTGCCTGATTCGGTGCTCCAGCTGGTAGCCACTCGGTTGCCATCTCCCGACAAGAAGGCGGCAAGGCTGGCGTGTTATGCCCTTCGCGCAGCGGTCAACTCTGCGGTCGCCTCAATCCTGCTTACGGATTCAAACCTGCCGCTGATCGCGCCTTCAGAACCAAAGTACCAGCAAATAACGCAACGATGCCATGACCCACAGCAGCAGCAGCAGGCGCATTCTAGGATCAGTGCTCCGCTGCACCTGATCTTCCCCAACCTGACGCACTTGTGCCTCGCGCTGTCTCCTTCCGCCGGTCCCGACACACGCCGAGCCGACCAGCTCCGCCGCCTGCTGCGACATAGCCTCCCCGCACTTCGCTGCCTGCGCTGCCTGGACCTCTCACTTGCCTGCCGTGACGTCGTACTTGGCCGTACGACAGCAGAGGTGTACGACACATGGGCGATAATAGTAGAAGGCCTGCCGGTAGGCCGCCCGGTTCGAGTGCTCCTGCACCCACCCACCGCGCTCCAGAGTCGTGCGGCCGGCATGGGCGGGACAAGCCCCTGTGCGGCAGCGGCCGCCGCCGCAGCGGCGACTAACGATTTCCCCCTCCATGGGCGAAACTGGGGTGGCCTTGGCGGTGGCGGTAATGGTGATTGTAAAGATCTGTACGGAGGGCATGGCAGTGAGGCGAGAACGGCAATCACGGCAGGCGAGGGGAGGTACTTCGACGACCGAGAGACTAGCACTGTTGGGGGCAGCAGTGGCGGCAGCGGCGGTGGCGGCGCCGGCAGCTCCTGCCTCCTGTCTGACATGCTGGCCTGGTTAGGTGCCCACCGGCCCGCGGCGGAGGTACGGCTGGTGACGGCGCCGCTGGCCAGTAAACGGTATGATAGGCCGCGGATCCCGTCGTACGCGGAACTGCTGGCGACGCTGGCATCGACAATAACGATACCCGGCCAGGGTTGCCGTACAGCGTGTCCTGCGGTGACGGGGCTGGTGTTGGGACCCGAGAGCTTCGACCCGGGGGGCCTAGCCTCCACTGCCTCACCAGGTTTTGGCGCCGCCCGCAGCAACGAAGCCAAGGCTACGGCCGCCAGCGGCGGCGTCTCAGCCGGCGGCGGCGGCGGCACGGCGTTAGCGTGGTTGCCTCTCCTCGCCGCCGCCAACTCCCGTGGCGGCACCTGCCTGGAGCAACTAACCTTGTGGGAGGCCTGGCCATTGCCGACACTGTTTGGCTCGTTGTACGGCAACGACGACGGTTCTGGGATGCCCCGTACGATGGTGTCGTCATCGTGTCCTTTTACCGGGCTGCGGCGGCTGGTGCTGTCTGACCAGCAGGTCGGCGGGTCAGGGGGCCTGTCGCGAGATCACGGGTGGATGGTGGCGAATGAGGTGGCGGAGGTGACGGGTTAACGGTTGGCGGAGGCGCGGATGAACGGGAGCTCGGATATATGTGGACGAAAAAACGGCTGGACGAATGAACAAACGATGTAATTGTCGCCTGGGGGGAGATGCGATGGTATGGGAATGTGGGCATTCGCGCTGTGTGGTAGAGAGCGTGTGCTCGCGTTGCGTTGTTGCTGTTCCACTTGTGTTGCTTGCTAACCTCCGTGACTTCATCAAAACGATGCGGGAATGCGGCTCTCACATTCCTCCTCAGGCCAGATTAAAGCTTGGGTCGTTGGGTCGGTGTTAATGATGTCGGTGTTAATGGTGCTACCGGTGCCGTACTGTAGGCCGTACATGATCGCGACCGCCTGTCCGCCGACGCCTTGGCGCCGTTATCCGCCCTCAGCTGCCTCACGCGCCTGGAGCTGGCGTCGCTGACGGTCAACGCGGCGGCGACGGCGGCGGCTGCCGCCGCAGCCGCTGCCACAGGGCGAGCTGCGTCACGCAGCACGATGCGCCGCGGCGGCGGTAGGAGGGGCTTGCCGGGTAGCAGCGGCAACGGGACGGCCAGTACGGCACGCGGGTTAAGAGCGGCGGCGGCCGTCAAGGCCCTCACTCCCCTGCCGCAGGTACGCCTGTGAAGCCTGTGACGGAAAAGAGGAAAGAGAAGTAATTCAAAAGGAATTTGCTGTGGTTGGTTGTGAGAGGCGTTGGAGGGAGGGGGATGGAGGGGGCCGGGGCCTGAGGTTGAGGTGCTGGTGTTGGTGAGCATGCGGGGGGGACGTTTTCAGACCTCCTTCCCTCCATCCCGCCCACATATGGCCTGCGGACCTCAATTCCACCTTCGGTTTTGCGTACGAACGTACGACATGACGCAGGTACGGCACCTGAGTGTGTACCACGCGCTGCGTGTCATATGGCCGCCCGACGGAAGTGACGGCTCCCACGGGGGCGACGGCGGCTCGAACGGCGGTGCGGCTGCCGCTGCCGCTCCTCTGGCTGTGCTGTTTCCGGACCTGCGGCACTTGTCCTGCTGTGTGACCCATGGGTCGCCTGGTCGGTCGGCTTCGGAGCGGTGGGGCTATCTGGGGGGTCTGGGCACCAGTCTGAGGTCGCTGCACTTGCGGGCGGTGGCGGCGGAGGACCTGTGCCTGCAGGTGGGGGAAGGGGAGGGGAGGGGAAGGGGGAACGGCTGAGGGAGAACCGGAGCCAGCGGCTCAGACACATACATACATACATACATACATACATACATACATACATACATACATACATACATACATACATACATACATACATACATACATACATACATACATACATGCATACATACATACATACATACATATTTTATGAGTTGTGTGTCTTACACACGGCAAAGGGGAAAGGAGAGGTGGCTTGAAAAAAGGGCAAAGGAAACCGAACGCGGAAGGCAGTGTTTTTTTTTTCGTGGAGGCCGATCCTGAATCTGTTACGAGTTCCGTAATAAATATGCCATCAGTCCAATACGTTTATTACTGCCAGATTTTTTTTCTGGGGGGCCAAGCCCCCCCAGACCCCCCCTGCCCACACAGGGTACCTTATACACCAGCACATATTTAATAAATATTTCATTAGAGTCTCAGCTGTTTCCGTCCGTTGCCACATGTGTTCAGGATTATGTCATACGTTTTCATCACGACACCACAGCCAGTACAATGCCCCAGGGCATAGCAAACTCGTCAGTTGTGCATGTAACGGCCACGCTTCTCAGCCCTCTGCAGCCACTTCTCCACCGCCTTGTCATACGGGAAGGACGAGCGGGTGTAGAAGTCCTGGGCAAACATACGCAAGCACAGGCCCAGATGCCTGATGGACCTGCCCCAGCAGAGCCAGCCGATGGCTCATTGAGCTTACGTCGTTTCAATGGTGATACAACCGGCTCCGGGCGTCTAGCCTGGTGCGCCTGAGCTGCTTCCTGGCCTGCAACAGGCTGTTGGTGGGATTGACTGGCTGAAGCATGGCGCCGTGCGGGAGGCGCCCTGTCATCTGGTTCTAATGTCTCTCTTGTACTCGCTATATTGTTTGAAGTGTTACCAGCATCGCCGCTACTGGGTTTTGGCCTGCCGGTGGTCAGGAATGCTTTGACGCTACCCTGACCAGCTATAGTAGTTAATTTCTTGGCCCCATCGCTCATTTATAACTTATTTATACTAAAATAGAACGTCTCTGGGGGCCTTCGGCCCGCCCCGACTCCGTAACGACCGTACCAGGCCTTTACCATGGTCTATGACGGAGCGCAGAACGCAAATATGCCATTTTATTACAGAACCGTAATATATTACGGAAAAAAAATACACTGGCGGAAGGGTAACGGGGACGGGGGAGAAGCCG